AGAGTGCACGCTTCAGAGGTCAGCAGGGTCACAGGCTGCAGCTGTCCCTGAGACCTCGGAGGGAGGGCCGGAGGGCCTGTGCCCTGGACAGCTGTAGGGCCCTCAGCTGTCAGGAGGGCGTGCTGTGGGGGAATGTGGGGTCAGAGTTTGAGAAGGAAGGGTGGGGGCTCTGGAACCTGGCCCTGGCTGATCTGGTCTGAGGGCAGCCCCAAGTCTCAGAACTTCCAGAACCCACCTAACAGGAACAGACTGGCCGTTCCGGGGTGGGAAACCCGGCCTGATGGAGGGTAGAGGTGACAGAGTGGACCCGAGTGTTGCTGACCTAGAGTTCCACTCAGGGTGGCCGCGTGAGCACCTTGCAACCTCCAAAATGAAGCACACGCTCTCTGGTCTCCTCAGCTGGAAATCCCAGCGTTCCACTCTTAGGTATATGTCCAAGATAACAAGAAACAGATGTTTAAACAAAAATGAATGCGTGTGTGGATATTCATAACAGCATCATTCATAACAGCTTCAAAGGAGAAACAACACAAATGTCTGTCAACTGAGACTGAATAAGCAAAATGTGGTATTTACCTAAACAATAGAAGAACTGGTAACATGCTTTACTGCTAACCGAAAGGTCCAGGGTTCAAATCCACTTCGCTAGTCTCTCCGAGGGAGAAAGATGGGCTTCCTCTCAAGATTTACAGCCTAGGAAACCTGAAAGAGGGTTGTCTGGAGTTATTGACTGGGTGGCTGTGGGCTTGTTTATCTATTTAATGGACCATCACTCAGCCATAAACAAGAAGGAAATATCGACAGTTGCCATGGTTAAGGAGGAACCTCTGAAATATTATGTTGAGTGGAAGAAGGCAGACACAGAAGACTGTATGTTGTATAATTCTATTTATATGAGCTTTCTAGAACAGGCAACAGAGAGAAAGTAGGCTAGTGCTCACGGCTGGGGGAGGTAGGAACTGGGAGTGATGGCTCGCCACGAGGAGGTGATGGAAACACTTTGGAATCAGTGGTGATGTTTGAACAGCTCCGTGACAACACTAAAGACCACATAATGGTACAATTGTAAATTGTAACTTTCATGGTATGAGAATTACATCTCAACAATGGTTTTTAAAATATTTTTAAAAAAATGTGTCTATAACCCACATCAGTCCAGGCCCTGAGGTCTGTCAGCAACTCTGATCGGAGGTAGATGGCATCTCGGGCAAACTCAGGCACATCCAGAACTGGATCCCAGATGGCTTCACTGAAAAGTCAGAGTCAGGAGAAAGGAAATTGGTACCAAACAAACAAAAAAGAAACGAGGATAAAAAAAAATTAGTCCAATGGCTCTTCCCAGCTCTAAGGGAAGCAGCAGGACCAGGTCGGGCGACCCCAGCAGAAGGTCAAGGGAAAGGAAACGCCAGGCCTGAGGTGGCTGCAGAAGCAGAGCTGGCCAGTGTGGCTGGAGGAGCACGTCCAGCCCAGCCTTGCCCACCCTTGTGCCTCTTATCCCTCACAATAGCAGCTCAGCTCTTGGCATCCACTGGGGTTCCCACGCGAGTGAGCTATTAGGGGCTTTTGTTCCCTTGGCCACTCTTCTCAGACCCTTCCAAGGACAAGGCCTGCCTCCAAAAAGGGCAGCACACAAGGGATCAAGTGAGGGGCAGTGACTCGGGAGAGGTGACATCCTGGGGTCGAGGGGTGGAAGACAAACCCCAGGCAATAGTCCAGGGACTGCTTCCCTCAGAAGGCCTGGCCCCCCTTGACTTGTGTCATGTGGGGTGTGGCAGTGATTACAGAATGCGGCCCTTCGGGCCATGTCCACTGACCTTGAATGGGACTATGCAAATAAGATGCTTGTGGCTCACCCACGGGATTGGCCAGCTTCCTGCTAATGCAAATTAGGTGTATGGACCTGTGATGACTAAGGCTATGGGTCTGCTTGGTCATGACATGTTTTCAGTGGCTTGGCAGTTATGTCATGATGTAGTCATCTTCTATTTTGTAATCTAAAATTGTCCTCGATCTTGTGACTTGGAAGCTCTGGTGGTGTCGTCTCTAGTGAACTACATTGCAACCTAAAGCCTATGCCCTTTGGTGGTTCGAATCCATCAGCTCCGAGGGAGAAAGATGAGCAATCTCCTCCCCAGCGATTTATAGCCTCAGAAAAAACACTGGAGGGTCGGCTGTGAGTTGGTTCTGACTTGATGGAGATCAGGGATTTGTCTTTACGCTTGTGCCAATGGTCCCATTTGGGAAGGACCAACCCCTTGGCATGGTGACTGCTGTAATGGATTTAGTGTCGGAAGCGTGAGGATGGCACAGGATAGGCCAGGGTTCACACCTGTTCACAGGGTCACTGTGAGTCGTATCCAACTTGATGGCGCCTAGCAACAACAGTCCATTAAGGAAGGAGGCAGAACAGGACATACCCTGACTTACCTTAATGGAGCCATCACCTTAGTACTGACTCAGTATCTTTACTCTGTTACTAATCTTCATTCCTTGTACCATGTCACTCCAATAGCGAAGTTTCCCTGAAGACCCCTGGTGAGATGGACTGCTAACAGTGCCTGCAACAAGGTAATGGGCTCAAACGTGTCAGAGATGATGGTGCAGGAAAAGACGGGGCTCAGGTCTGTTGTTCATAGGGGTGCTATGAGTTGTACACAACTTGATGGCACCTGAAAACTACCACCACCACCACCGCCACCTTGAAGAGACAGTCTATATCCAACATACATATGAGAACTCTGGCTCTGGGTCCTGCACCATGACCTCCAGTGCTTGAGCCAGGAGCCTGTCACCTGACCTGCCGATCCGGGTTCATCAGCTCCTGCGACAGTGTGTTAAGAGGCCTCCAGCCTGACACCTGACCATGGATTTAGGACTTGACAGTATCTTCAACTACAACTCTGAACCCAGAGGTGGCAGGCAGAGGGGGAAGAATCCATGTCAGAGATGGTGAGTGTTCTAACACCTTGGAAATGCTAGATAGGTACTTGGGACATCTTTAACCTCTGACTCCTAGGAACCAGCCTTAGGTTAATCCTTGTTTATTTATTTATTTATTTATTTTTAATTTTGTGTGTGTACCGTCAAATCGGATCTGACTGGTACAGGAGGAGATTGCCCCTCCTTCTCCAGCAGGGCATCTGGTGGATTCGAACTGCGTTATCTCTGGGATTGCAGTGCAGCTTCTTGACAGTAGGCCACCAGAGCTCCCCTAGGCTAATCCTTCTTAAAGCAATTATACATATAACGACCAAGTAAGGAAGGATTCTACCCTAGGGGACGCTTAGGTAACACCTAAGGGGTGGGAGCCAGGAGTCCAAGGGTCTCCCTTAGTCTCAAAGCACAAGGGCCCGGGGCCAGCAGGAGCAGGAAGCTGGACAAGATCTCAGTAGAGTCAGGTACAGTCACTCAGCACCAATTTCCTGACAAGAGTGAAAGGGGCCTGTCTGGTGGCACAGGGGGGCGTGCCTGCCAGCCTGGCCTGTGAAGGGCTTTGCATCCTGCTTTCTGTCTGAATTTTGCATGATAGCACTGCTCCTCCTAGACCATTTCCAACAGTTGCCAATGGCAACCAGGCAACTCCCATTATCTGTGGCTTTGTTCCAGGCTGGGTGGCAGCCTTTCCCCTCTCTTCTTGCAAAAGTCCACCCAAGTAGGATGCACATCTGTGCTTCCCCCCCAGCTGCTGGACCCCATTCACGAAGGTTCTGGCCCTTGCCAAGTGGGGTCTAAGGTGCTACCTCCCTCACTCCTTCAAAGGCATTGGAAACCCCACTGTTTGCACTCAAGAGCCACTGGTGGGCTCCCCTGGGGGACCCTCAGCTGAGCCTGGCTTATGTGGCTGCAGGATGGGAGCTGATCTCTCAGGCCTGGGCGGGCCAGAACTGATACCAAACGTGGTAGTGACCCAAGTGAAGCTCTGCAACGGGCAAGTGGAGAGGGTCTGGGCTCCATAGGGCCATCTCCAGAATGGTGTGGGCCACTGTCCCTTGGTGAGGCTGGAGGCTGTTGGGAGGCATAGCCAGGGGTGGGGAGAAATATCTCTGCCCTGTCAGGGCTGGAGGCAGCTATAAAGAAGTCAAATAGAAGAGCAGTGTCTGAGGTTCTGAGTCACAGACCAGTTTCATCCAGGCCTGCTCTGACCACCCAGCTTGATTCCTGATGAAGAGGAGGCTGGGAGGCAGAGGCTGGACGCTGTGTGGTAACCTCTGAGTCAGGACCCAGGCATCATGCACCGCCTTGTGCCCCTTGAGCTGACAGCTAGGGCTCCTGATCTTCACACGGCGTGTGTGGCCGGGTCGCCTGTGGCTTATGACGGAAACCGACTCGGTCAGTGCCAGCCTGTCTCAAAGGCACCAGTGCACAAGTGGACTGAGCTGGGAACCCCAAGGGCCAGTCCTTGTCCAAGCGTCCTGGCTCCAGGCTAGCTCCCCGCTGCGGACAACTTGGAATCCAGCTTTGGAACAGCTCTGAGGCCTTCTCTCCAGATGGTGGGGTCAGGCCAGGACCACAGCACACATGTGGGGGCCGCTTGGGGAGGCCGGGCAAGCAGCCAGAAGCTCACTCCACAGGCCAGCCCCTCGGCCGGAGTCCAGCGCACCTCCTGTCAGATGCCATCTGCTCCCTGGAGCTGCCTGAGGAGGGCTGGGTCCACCGGGGTGATGGCTGACAGGGCAGTGAGACTGTGCTCTACCTTCTGGGGAACGTCAAGCAAGGAACATTCAGGAAGAAGGAAGAGTGGAAGAAACTACACACTCAGAATGTGGTTTTATTTCTCCAAAAGTTAGTCCTGCGTTTGATGCACATGGGAAGGGCACCAGGCCGCTGGTCCCCCCTTGGCCTTGGAGTCACTGAGAAACGACCACTGGTGGCCAGCTGCACACGGTCGTCCAGGCGCGGGCCCACAGCCCTTGCTCCACACTGGCTGCTTCTTTCTCTCTTGTCTGCAGGTCTGGAACTGATGCCTCCTGGGGGCTCAGACGTCTGCGAGGGCCACACGCTCAGATCCTGACCACCTGGACAGCGACACACGGACTCTGCCTGTTGTCTCCACCTGCCGGCTGTCTCTTGAGGTAGAGTCGACCAAAGGTGCCCCCCACCTGCCCTTTGGTGAGGCGCCCAGGGTTCACACAGACACAGCCGAGGACGTCCTGGGGAGGAGAGCAGAGGCCAACATTAACTGGGGGCCAATATCCTTATGTGACAAAGTCGGATAATGGTGAGATCTCAGAGAGGATCCTCTGAACGGGAATAAGGCAATTAAACATATTTTAAGTCAAACTGGCCACCCTGACGTGAACTCAGCCTTCTGTATCTCTGGAGCACAATGAAGAATGAGGTGACCTGGCACGAGGGCCGTCAGCCCAAGGGGAGGCACCTAATCCCAGCAACGGGGTCTTGGGGTGGAGGAGGGTGCTGGGAGCCCCAAACCAGGAGCCTCTTCCAAGGGGTCACAGCTGAGCCCACCCAGAGTCACAGCAACGGCTGGGGGTGGACCCACTGACTGGGGTCCCAAGGCTGGGTGGACGGAGACCAGGAGGGCACTGGGTAGCTCCATTTGCGCATTTCACGGGCAGATTTGTCTAGTCCCACCCAGTGCTGGGCTAGGAGACTCCGCCGCTGTCAGCAGAGCCCTGAAGAGCAAGCACTGGGGGACCTAGAAGTAAACCAGAGATGATTCCGGAAAAAGTAACACGTTCAAACCTACCTTCACAAAATACCTCAGCTCTGATGGGATTATGAGGACGTCAGGGGTGACAGGCAGCTGGGCGTAGGCATAGAAGTGCTCGTAGTCAATGGCCATGTCCTCCTGAGGAGGGTAGAGTGGGTAGTAGCTACAGGGACAGAAACAGTCAAGCGGTCAACAGCTGCTAACCCAGGGACGGGCCCCAGATCCCCTCCACGTTCTCTATCTGCTCGAGGTGGCACAGAAGGCAGCCTTGGCACCACAGGGTGACGCTCCCTGACCTCCACGTTCCTCACAGCTTAGCTCTGTGACCCCAAAGTCATCTCTTGGTGGGGGGCAGGCCATCCCAGCAGGGAGCTCACCTCCGCTGGGTCAGGACGTGTCTGAGTATGCGGCTGAATCTGTCTGAGGTTCCAGAACTGGGGACAGAAGAAAAGCAACACATGGAACAAACACAGAACCTGGATTTCCCCGCTCCTGCCTCCTCACAGGGAGGAACAAAGGGTTTAGTAAACTAGACAGAAGCTGAGCGGCCGAGGGGCAGCAGTAACGGCAAAGACCCTCCCATCAGTTTCTCCATTTGTTCCCGTGCAAGAAGGGAGGCAGGAACCCTGGGTGGAGGACAGAAAGACTGTGAAAGGTCCTTAGCCAGTCTGTACCACCGGGAGTCGAGCATGCAGCCGGGACCAGGCCTCTCATCCACTCTCACCCACAGCCAACATACACCCAGCTCAACGAACACGTGAACTGCTCTGAACTCTCCCTCCCTTGTCAGTGGGATGGAGGAAACTTTTCTAGTACATCCCCAGGCCACTATTCCCTTTGAAGGACATTTGATTAAGCCACAAACGTTGCATTTGTTGAAGTCACATGTTTGGGATGTGAAGATGGCACCACAGGAAAGTGTGCAGAGAACAAGCATGACTACAGCGTAAGGACAAAGACAGAATATGTGTCCTTAGGAGTCTTCCACTGTGTGGACCAGCAGTGACAGAAATGCATTCATCAACCACGTCCACTGGGCACAGACAGCCCAAGGACATGGCGTGAAATGCTGCTGGTCCCGCCTGCTCCAGTGACTCAAAACTCAACTTACTGCTGACCAGTCAAAACCGACTCAAAGCTGAGCCTACAGCGGGTTTTCAGAGGCTGTAAACTGCACAGGAGGAGAAGGCCCATCCTCCTGCAGAGCCGCGTGTGCATTTGAACCATGAGTGAAGTGCCACCTCTCAGGCAGCGCCACAGCCCCCAGAGCCCCCCCTCTTGGTCTGGCAGCTCCTGGATGTCCACGGCCCAGCCAAAGCACAAGGTGCAGCCGCTGGGCTGGCGCACGCCTCACCTGCTGATCTCCTCCGACCCCATGTGGAACAGCAGGTCCGTGGACGTCAAGCCAAAGACGGCCCCATTTATGGAGAGGCTGCAGGGATCGGACACGAACTGTACTCGCTGCAATGAGAAGGGGGTGACATGAACACAGATTTTAACAACAAACTTAGGAACTTCCTGTAAAAGTGGAGATTCTCCAAGGGAAGCCAAGCTGATTCACAGCAAAAGCAGCAACACGTCTGCCTGCTGAAGAAACGGTTTGGACTCTGGCTCCAGGCAAGCCTGGAAGGGCGGCCCCATTCTGCACTCAGGGGACAGAGCTGGTCCCCCCAAGGCCTGTCGTGGTTCTGACTGCTGCTGGCTGAGGAGGGCTGCAAGTACCTTTTTGTCTTCTTTGGACAGATCCGTGTAGCTGAAAGGAGGCTGTGGGTAGATGGGCTCGTGGTGCACGTCTCTCAGCGAAGGGACAAACACGAGGTGGGAGCCAGAGCTGGTTTGGAAAGAAAACAAACAAAACAAAGGTGAAAAGTGAACACCCTTGAGTTAGAACAGCTGGACAACAGCCTTACAATGTCAAAGCTGGACAACACAAGGGCCCACTTCCAGGAAGACTTCCAGAATGTTCCTAAGAGTGAGGAGGGTGAAATCTGGCCTCACATATTTTAGGTCTATTGTTAGGAGGGGTCAGTGCCCCGACAAAGACCCGTAATAAGATGGACTGAGGCTGTGGCTGCAGAGTGGACTTTAGAGCTGCAGGATCCGAAGGTGTTTTACTCTGTTGTGTTTACAGTCGCTCTGAGTGCAGCCCAACAACACGAGGCAAAATAAAGGGCCCTGGTGGTGCAGCAGTGAAGTGCTAGCTTGGGAACATATCAGCGGCTCCACAGGAGAAAGACGTGGCTCTCATGGAAAGTGTTCCCAGAAAGGTTGTTGTTGTGTGTCCTTGAGTCAAAGCGACCCAGAGCTGACCTTTCACAGGCAGCACACGGCACAGGAGGAGGTTTCATCTCTCTCCCCCGGAGCAGCTGGGACTTGAACTGCGTGCCTTTGGGATTGTGGCCCCTACACTATGTCACCAGAGCCCCCGTAAAGATTATAGTCTTGCCAACTCATAGGTAGTCCGACTCTGTCCTTCAGGGTTGTGAAGAGCCGGAATCTGCTCGACAGCAACAAGATAAAGCAGGATCTACTTCTGGTGGGCACTGCAGCTGGAGGGCACTCAGATTCGGGGTTACACGCCCAGCTCACCATCGCCCGTGACACTCTTCTTCAACTCAGATCACAGAGAAGAGGGGGAGCCAGAAAACATGGGGTCCCAAGGCACCACAGCCCGAGCCAGTGGGAAGTCAGCATCGTGTCTGACAGACGTCACCCGTGGGCATCGTACACACCTAACGGGCTGAAGAAGCCAGAGCCGAGGGGGGCTCTGCTAGGAGAAGCCAGGCACGCTGCTTGTCTCTCAGTACAGCTCTGTAATTCTGGGATCAAACTGAAGCCTTGGTCAAACACACACACACAGAGGGGGGACCACACTACCAGCTTCTCCCCCCACCCACCCCTCAGAGCAAAGAGATGCCCTGTTTTCAGTTCACAACAGATGAAAAGGAAAGGAACGTTTAGCAGCGACAGTGAAAGCACTGATGACAGCAGATGGCCCCCGTGATGGTGGCAGAAGGAGAGTCTCTAGGGTTACGGCATCTAAGTGCCGGGAAGGGCCATTAACTCCAGGGCCAACTGTCTGTCGTCCTCACCACACAAAGAGCGAGGGAAAGGACCCGGTTGCCTCGGTGCCGGCCGTCCTTGACAGAGGGGCCCCATAGACCAGACCGGCCTCAAGTGTGGCTCTGGGGCATGTTTAAACCTCATCAGGAGGTTTCATCTCTCTCCCCCGGAGCAGCTGGGACTTGAACTGCGTGCCTTTGGGATTGTGGACCCTACACTACGCCACCAGAGCCCCCGTAAAGATTATAGTCTTGCCAACTCATAGGCAGTCCGACTCTGTCCTTCAGGGCAGCAATGGCTGCCTCTCACCACCTGTTTATGACGCTGATGAAAGTGAGAAGAGAAAAAAAAAAAAAAAAAAAAAAAAAAAAGAAAGTGAGAAGAGAGACTTGGGCAGCAGGAAATGAGCACCCGGAGACCAAGCACCTTTGAATATTAACTGTGTTTCCCTTTACGCTGAAAATTTCACAAGAGGACCCTCCGCATCTATGCTCATCAATGTGGGAGCAAGAGTCCGGTCCCAGTGGGGTGCGTGTGGGAGGGATTGGTCTGGACCAGTCAGTGCTCCAGATCTCTGATTCTGAGGGACAAGGGGCCTGAGGTGTAGGCGTCATGACCCAATCGCTTGGAGGCAGTGGGGCTGCAACAGTTAAAGAGGAACTGCCCTCGCACTCCGGGTTATAACTGGCTGCAGGGGGAGGGTGCGGAGAAAATTCCAGCTATGCTCAGCTTGCAGTTCCTGCACCGTGTGGGCGGGGCCTCGGGCGGGCCAAGGGCTCCCCTCGGCCTGTCCTGCCTTCTGCTATCAGCGATATCTGGCATCTCGGCTGCTGAGGGATGAAAACAAGTTCTCTAACTGAGGGGCACTGATCGGCTCTTTTTTGGAAGAGTGGGGCGGCTCCCTCCCGAGGGCCCCTGCTGGCTGTTGATGAAAGTGCCTGGTGGTGCTGGGCACTCATCCGTGGGTGACAATGTCCGGCTTGTTCTTTGTTTACATCACTGCTGCCACTGCCACTTCAGATGGGGAGTAAAAAAAGCCAAGAGTCCAAACTCAAAGCCAAGGCTCCCAGCCCACGCTGCCTAGACCTTGTGCTCCCAGAGAGCAAGGGTGACAGGCGGGGTCCCGAGGAGCAGGGAGATGAGGGCGGGAAGCGTGGACTCAGCCGTGCCTGCCACCGCCCAGCCCAGTCCTTTGACTGAAGCGAGAGTTAGGGGTGCTCTTCTCCTCTGTTTGCTTCTGCACACCCCTCTGCTCGTGTGACGTAGTGTTACAATGAATCAATCCTGGGATCAGTCCTCATGGCTAAGGGATGGAAGATTATACATCTTGTTTTAAAAGCCACCTTTGTTACAGACTTGTTTTGAAAAGCTTAGCCTCAGGAATGTTTGCTTTTTCCGGGCTCAGATACAGGCAGGCGGATCCCAGGAGGGGAAGCGCCAGCACATCCAGGCAGCTTCTCCCAACCCAGAGGAGGCTCTGGTCGACGGGGGAAGGGGATGTCAGCTTCCGGCAGCACTTTCTATTCTGGCTCTGGGCTCTTCCGGGAGCAGGGACTCCTCTCCCAGATTAGAACTGCACGTCTCTGTCATCACTGATGTGAAGGCTCACAGCTCCTTCCATGTGGCGGATGGCAACGATTCAAGGGGCCCACCTCACCTCAGGGGTCACTCTGGTCACTGCTCACTTCGGCGAAGCAAAGGGCAGCACTGACCAGGGCAAGCACCAGGCCTAGCCCTGCATCACTCACACCATGGGATGTTTAGATCCTCAAGAGTGTTGCTGTGTGAGTCACTAGACCCTCTCAGACTCCTCCCAGGAAGATTCCCACAAGTTTATGCAAAAGCAAGTGAGAGAGGGAAGGAAGAAAGGAAGGGGAGAGCCAGGGGATGGGGAGAAAGAAAGTGGAAACATTTTCTTTCAAGCATGTTTAGCTTTGTGTTTTCCAAAGATCTCTCTTGCACTTGAAGTTCAAGAGTTCTAGCCGATTTCTGAAATTCAAAAGAACAAACAGGGCTGACCTATCACTACTTCTGAACAGCTCAGCGTCTTAGTGGGAAAACCCGAGAAGCAAAGGTTTGGCCCAGCGTTCTGGATTCTGACCTTCTGGTCCCTTCGATAATGGTGCGGAGACACTGCTTGAAGACATCCTCAAACGGACTCGTGAGCAGACAGTTCTGGAAGGAAGGAAAGGAGATGCTCTGGGAACCCGTGCTTGGCAATTATTTCAGTTCTGACAGTCATTTACAGACTCTCGGGACCAGCCACCAAGCCAGGGGTGGAGAGGGACAGCAGGGCCCCGTCCTGGGAGCAGAGCTGAGTGTGAGGCAGGAGACAGGTGGGCGGGGTGGGAATGATTCATCTTGGATGTAAGTTATGAGAAAGGCTGAAAGGAAGTGTGTTTTGCAATCTTTTCTGGAGAAATCTGCCTGATAAAAAGCCCAGGACGGCTGGCCCCAACAGTGGGGTGGCGGGGCCCTGTGTCAAAACTCAGAAAACCCTGGCATGAGTCATCAGGAGGAAGGCAGCTGCGAGGGACCTTCCCAGCCCTGCAACCTGTGGCCACTACACCTGGGAGAACTCGTGTGCTTCTGTGTCATATGTCACAAACAAAGGGACACCAGAGGGATCTAGGGATACTCTCCTCCCAATTTCCAGACAGACATGTGTTCTGGTGAACAATCCCTGAATTGATTGTCTCTATATACATGCTACGTTCTACAAGTTTTCTGGATGGCTACGGGGGTGGTTTGAGGAGTGTCTCAGATGCTGGGATAATCTGAAAGGTGACAGTGACACTGAGGCCTCGACTGCATTCGGTGTCACACAGTCCTACCCTCAACCCGTCCCACTCACCTCCACCTGCTCGTGCTTGGCGTCAAGGAACGGTCCAAACTGCACGGAAGCCCGAGGGGGAGAAACAGTGTTAAGCTTCTAGAGGGCCCTTCTGGCACGTGCCCACCTGACCCAGCCTGGCTGTCTGCAGGGCCTGGTGTTAGCAGATGCAGACAGAGCACCATAAGACTGCCCATCATACGGGCCTTATACTGTCTTTTCACACCCAGCAAAGGGAAACACACCTCAGTGCCAGGAGTCGTGCCCTGAACTGGCTGGAGCAAGGAGACAGAGGTGAGAACCCTGGACAGGTGTGAAGGGTGATGCAAAGGATTTAGTGAGGGCTGGTGGACCACATGCACTTCTCCACTCAAAGCCCAAAGTACAGCTGCTGAGCTGATTGGTGGAGACCCTGGAGGACAGAGCAGAACTGCCCATAGAGTCCACGGTCCAAAGTCTTTAGAGCAGACCGCCCCATCTTTCTCCCGAGGAGTAAATGATGGGTTTGAACTATCGACTTTCTGGCTAAAAGTCTAACACTTAACCCACTAAGTCACCAGGGCTGCTTTTGAGAACCCCACTAGGGATGATTTCCCCAGTTTTCTTATAGGTGGCCCCACAAGGGCCTCCTACCAGGATGCAGACATCGGGCCGGTCGTGGTTGATGACAGTGACCAGGTCCAGCAGGGGGTCATATGTGATGCTGTCTGAAGTGGTGTAGGGCCCGCAGGCAATCAGAACCATTCTCTGTTCAAAATCTAAGACAGAAAGGATGCCAAGATCTTGCTTAATAACTGGTATTAGAATGATGGGAGAAGACAGAACACAAATGCGACTGAGTTAAATTCATCAGAAACCTCTTTAGAGGGAACAACTCTGGGACTCACAGATGTAACAGCTCATCCTCATCCTCAAAGACTATTCCCTCAGGTGGCAGAGACAGGCAGATGGGCAGATAATTTCACCCTGGGGGGCCGCAGGCTGAGGTTTTGAGTGGAGTAAATAGTTAGGGCATGGGTGACTAATGTCAAGGATGACAGTTCAAACCCTGGGAAGTAAAGAGTGGTGAACCGCTTCAAAAGGTCACAGCTCTGGGGAGCTCTGGTGGCCTAGTGGTAAGGAGCTGCAACTACAATCCCAGAGGCGCACGGTTCGAATCCACCAGATGCTCTGCAGGGGAAGGAGGGGCAGTCTCCTCCTGTACCAGTCAGATCTGATTTGACGGTACACTCACACAAAAACAAATAAAAAATTAAAAAAAAAAAAAAAAAGGGTCTGAGCTCTGAATTGGCTTGACAGCAACTAACAACAGCTTTGTGTTGACTGATGACTCCGAGCTTTTCCACCGAGGTAGTGGACTGGATTCCTGGGCATTGCATCTGCCGCGGTGTGTGTGTACGGTTGTGTTAGCTGCCTCAAGTTGGCCCTGGCTTCTGAGCCACTCAGCATACACCTGAATGAAGCATTGTCCGGTCACCTGCTACACCCATGACCGGTCAGACAGGACCACGGTGATCTACAGGTTTCAGCAGGGCGTTGCCAGGCCTTTCCTCCTAGTCTACAGGCTCCACTAAAACTTGATCAGCGTCACAGCAATGTGCAAGCACCTGGCAGACGAGGAGATACACAGGAGGTGTTCTGGCTGGAATCTAAATCTGTGTCTCCCACATGGATGGAGAATTCTGCTGTGCGTCAAAACTAGGGAATTAACACTGGTCCATGACTGTCATCTAAACTCCTGACTCTATTTGTCATCCCCTCCAATGTTCTTTTCTCCTCTAGGATCCAAATCAAGATGTCACATTGCATTTGGAGAAATAGTTTTTTCGATCCAGGGCCTCTCAGATCCCCAGGTGTCAAAGGTCCTGGGGGGCACTGTGTCCTCAGGGGTGATCGGAGCCCAGTGCTAGACATCACAGGAGCAAGAAATAATTTTTTAAGCTTTCTATCTCAAAGCAACCTGCAAACACCTGTTAAGCCTTCATCTGTAAATGATAATCTCTGCTGTCAGACCGAGGTGAGCACATCAGCAACGCGCCCCAGGTTCAGACCCTCGGCCTCTGACAAGGGTTTGTGGGACTGCCAGCCTAGTTGTGCCCTCCACCACCCGCCAGTCCACTCTCCTCAGCTTGGACTCCTGAGAGCCCTACTCCGAGCCTTCTTGTCCACCACCCTCAGAGCTGGCAAAAAAAATCTGTTAAACTAAAACTTACCTCCATCATCTTCTTCAGTGGGCTGATGAAAGGGAAGTGGTACTCCCTTAAAAAGAGAAAAGCCATACTGAGGTCAACTGCCTAACCTCACCTTTGGGGAGAGGGGTGGGTGCATGAAACAGTGGGAAGGGGAGGGCTAAGTGTCTTGCAAACTCAAGCTCATGGGCCATAGTCTAGACTGATCCAAGTGACAGAGCGACAAAGCAGCACATATAACGGGAAGTCGCAGCTGTTGTTAATGCCATCAAATTAACAGAACTCATAGCAAGCCCATGTAACAGGGCAGGCCGGCCCGACGGTGTCCTAGGCAGCTTCCACAGGCAGGAGCCCTGGTGGACCATGTGTAACAATGGTTTGCTGCTGGGAAGTTGGCAGTTCGAATCCATCAGCCTCTCTAGGGAAGAAGGATGGGTAGTCCCCCCCCTGGAAACCCAAGGGGCAGTTGACAGGCCTTGGAATTGACCGATGGCAGTGGGCTAGGGTTATTTTTTATGGCAGATTGCAGATCTTTCTCCTTTGAAATGGCTCTGAGTGTGTTCAAACTACCAAATTGTTGATCAGCAGACAAACTCTTAACCCTCTACACCACCTGGGCTCCGTAAGAAGTCACTGAGCAAAGGGTGGGAGCAGAACAGATGCCTGGATGCTCTGAGCAAGGCTGGGAGCAAAGTTCTCCTCACACTTTTAAAATCTTGGATTACTGCCTAGATCTGGCCGGCACGTTGGGGTTTGCGAGGCAAATCTAGTTGAAGCTCACTTTTATAAATAAACTTTTATAGGAACATATCCACCCTCGTTTACGGATGGGTTGTTGACGGCTGCTGTTGTGTTACCATGGCAGAGGTCAATGACTGTGATAGAGACTGTCAGACACACACAGGCTCAAACATTCATGAGAATCCCTTGCAGAAAGAAAGGGCTTCCTAACTAGAGGTAAAGCGGTTTGGTCACCATCCTAAGTTTAGAAAGAGCCAGGAGGAAAGGTGGAGTTACCTCGTACAGCTTGGTGGCGACCAGTTTTCTGCCAGTGGGGTTGATTCCCTCCATAATTACAACCTGAGACAAGAAGAAAACACGACAGTTAGAACTGCGGTAGATGAGAGTCTGGAAGGCATTACTGTGACATGGTCAAAACTACTCCCCAGCTAGCGTCTAGTTCTAATTGTAAATGTGGGGCAATCTAGAAAATAAACAGAGGCTTCTAGTAGTGATGATAATTACACTCTACAGGAATGGCCTCATCTTCACAGTAATCCAATGAGGTAAGAATTATTAGCTCCATTCTACAGATGAGAACAGAGTGGCTTCGAGAGGCGCAGTAACCTGCCCGCAATTCCATGATGGGTAGAGACGGCATTCTAACCTGGGCAGCAGGCCCGGGCCCGGCTCAGTGCACACAGGCCAGGAGGCAGGCCCGGTCACGGCGTGCGCCAGGTCGAGCGTGTTAGCATGGCCAGCACAGAGCGATCGCAGGAGCAGCGGCCTCACCACAAAGGGCCTGTTCTGAGGGCCGAGCTCCATCCGCTCTGTAACGTAAACCACACACTCCCATCCAGTAGATGGGACTCGATCTTACCTGTCCAGGAAATAGAGAGTATTCTTTGAGCTCTGATAAATCCACCGGGATCTGAGCACCTGAGGAATGCTCCCGGTCTCCCTCCAGGATCACGGACTTGGAGTTGAGCTTGCCGTTGCTATCACAGCCAATCTGGCCCAGCAGGGTGACCGGCTCCTGTGCAGAGGGGTGCATGTGAGAACAGGAAAGCGAACAACGAGGCCACAGGGTGACTGGAAAACCAACGCCAACAAGGGCTAACCCTTCCTGGAAGCTTCAGACCCCAAGAAGCCCCTGCACGTCGCTGTTTCTCAGGGTCAGAGCTCTTGAAGGATGCTGAGGTAGCTCGTCCACCCACCCACAATGCCTGAGTCCCTGCCAGGCACTGCCCCAGTGTGGGCCTCTCAAGTACACGTCCCAACCCCTAGGGCCATGCACCCCATCTCTGGGCAGCTATAACTGTTAGTAACCCCAAAGCAACTCACTGTATCACAGTGATTCCGACTACAGCGGTCCACCCCACAGGCAGAGCAGAACCACCGTGTAGGGAGGGCTTCTGAGGCTGTGTGTTGTTGGGGAACACATTGTCTCACCCCCGGAATAGAAGGTGGTGGGTTTGAACTGCTGATCATTTGGTTAGCAGTCCAACACATAATCTGTAGCATCACTCGGGCCCCCTAGAGGTTAATAACAGCTAACACTTGCTGAGCTTATGAAGCACTAGACACCGATCTATAGCTCATCTAACCCCACAGTAACCCCAAGTGGACAGGGCAGACTCAGGGTTACAGAGATCTCTTCCTGTCTTTCAGATGAATTTACAGGCAAGTTACAACAGGTGCACACAGTTCTCAGGTGGCCTTACTTTGTGCTGTTTGTGACTCATAGCGACCCTATGTACAACAGCCCTGAAACCTGCTCTATCCTGTGCCTACTTTACTGTCTCTGACACACCTACCCCCATTATCCCAGTCACTGTATCAATCCACCTCATCAATGGTCTCCCTCTCTTTCTCCATCCCTCCACCCTCCCATGCATGATGTCCCTCTCCAAGGACTGGTCCCTCCTTGCAACATGCCCAAAGTATGTCAGACGAAGTCCCAGAATCCTTGCCTCCAAGGGGCAGCCTGGCTTCACCCTCTCTAGGACAAACCTGTTTGTTCTCTGGCAATCCATGATATATATTCAACACTCTTCTGTGGTACCACAGCTCAAAGGCATCAACTCTCTATCATAGCTAGTTATTGTCTAGCTCTCTGATGCATAGAAAGCAACTGCAAAGACTATGGCCTGGATCAGGCACATCTTACTTTAATGTAAAAAAAAAGTACCCTGTCATGTGTTCCATGTTGAGCTGCTAATGGACATTGAGTGAGGTTTGAATCGATTGCGGCTCCAAAGGAGAGAGCTGAGGCAGGGTCCTGAAAACATGTATAGTCCAGGAACGAGATGGGGGTCACCATGAGGGGCACTGACTCCACTGTAGGAGGTCTGGCTACTGCAAGAAAAGACTCTAAGCCTTCAGGGTTGTTAGGTGTCGTCGGGTACGACTCATAGTGACCCTGTGAACAACAGATCTGAACCCTGACCTGTGTCCTGTGCTGCCCTCATCATTTCCCACACACTCGAGCCCCCTGCGGCAGCCACTTTGTCATTCCACCTGGTCGAGGGTTTTCCTCTCCTTCACTGTCCCTCCACCTTTCTCGGCATGATGTCCCTCTCCAATGAACTTCTAGCAACATGCCCAAAGGATGTGCGACACAGCTTGACCATCCTTGCCTCTGGGAGCACTCTGGCTGCACTTTCTCCAAGACATATCTCTTTGTTCTTTTAGCAGTCCACGGCACTCTCCTCTACCACCACAACCCAAAGGCATCTATTCTTCTGTCATCTTTCTTTACTGACCAGCTATCAGATGTGTGACAGGTGACTGAAAAGACCATGGCTTGAATCAGGTGCACCGTGGTCTTTAAATGACTTAAAAGCCACTGGTGCAGCAAGTGAAGGTGAGGAGGGTTAAAAATTTGTTAGAAATAGGTCTTAGTTCAACTATATCCAAGTTAGGGCAAATTTGTATGTCACTAAGGGGCAAGTACTAGCTGTCACTTTTAGGATTAAGGTGCGCCTGACCCAAACCACGGTAGTTTTAATCACTTCATATGAATGACAAAGTTGGATAATAAGTAGGGAAAACCAAAGAATGAATTCCAAAATGTGGCTTAGCAGAGACGGTGAGTCTCATATGTTGTTGTTAAGTGTCATCAAGTCACTTGAGACTCATAGCGACCCATGTAGGACAGCTCCGAGCCCTGCTCTGTCATGAGCCAGCCTCATCATCTCTGACACACTCACCCGATTACCCCAGTCACCGAATCAATCCATTTCATCCGGAGGCTTCCTCTCTTGCGCTGTCCCTCCACCCTTCCAAGCATGATGTCCCCCTCCAAGGACTGGTCCCTCCTGGCAACATGCCCAAATGTCAGCTGGAGCTTCAAAAATCCTTGTCTCCAAAGAGTAACCCGGTTTCACCCTCTCCAGGATGAACCTATTGGTTCTCCTAGCAGTCCTTGGGATATTCAGTACTCTTCTCCAGCACCACAGCTCAAAGGATCAATTTTCCTTCTACCATCCCTAGTCATTGTCCAGCTTTCTGACACACAGCAAGCCAACTGTGAAGACCATGGCCTGGATCAGGAGGCGCATCTGAGTCTCCAGACTGACACCATTGTCTTCAGTACTCTGGAGGGGTCCCTGACAGCAGATTTCCCCACTGCAATCCATCTTTTGATTTCCTGGCTGCTGGTATCAAGAGGGTTGTTTGTGGAGCTGAGCGAGCTAAAGTGTTAACAATCTCAATCTCTTCACCATCTATCGTGATGCTGCCAACTGGCCCATGGTGAGAATCTTTGTTTTCTTGATGTTGAGCTTCAATCTGCATCAAAGGCTGCAGTCCTTGACCTGTAGCAATACCTCCTACACTTTAGGGCATATTCTCAGACAAGGCCAGTCCCTGGAGAAAGACCCTCAGTGAGACGGGTGATTAGCTGCAGCAATGACGGGCTCAAGCACAGTAGAGATAACGAGGGCGACAGTTGCTATTGGTGCCACGTCAACGGCACCTAATAATAACAACTGTCCGTAAGGTGAGCGTTCAGACCCATGACTGTACCATTATTAGGTCCATTTTCCAGATGAGGAAAAATGAGCAACAGTTTAGGTAAGTTATCTACGGCCAACAGTGGGTGACGCCTTGGTGTAAAGCCCAGAAGTCTGGCTACTGAGCCATGTTCTTCCCACAGGCTACATCGCCTCTTGGCAGGAAGTTCTCTGCTACACGGAGCGGAAATCTCTCCCCCCATGGCTTCCTCCGTCCTATTCCACACCAGGGCTACAGCAAGCAAGTCTAATCTCCTGCCTGACCGTACATCCTTGCCTTCCTTTCACCACCCCGCTACATCTGTCTTTTTGTGACAGTTCTGTCCATCTTCCCCAACTGGTCACTGTTCTCTGAAAGGGAACACATGATAATAAACCCCACTGGCGTCAAGGAGATTCAGACTCACAGCAACACAACAGAACAACACACGGGTTTCCAAAACTCTAAGTCCTGGCGAGCTCTGGTGGCCTAGTGGCAGGAAACTGCACTGCAATCCCAGAGGTGTGTGGTTCAAATCCACCAGATGCTCTGCTGAAGAAGGAGAACAGTCGCCTCCTGTACCAGTCAGATACAATTTGACAGTACACACATAAAAAAAAAAAATAAAACAACAACAACAACAAAACCTCTAAGTCCTGATGGAAGCAGACGACTACGTCTGAATCCCTGGAGTGGCTGCTGACTGACTGACCTTGACCTTGTGGTTAGCAGCTCAACACTTAACCATGAGAGGTGCCTGAGAAACGCAGAACTTTCTTTACATTAAAAAAGAGTCCCAGATATTTCTGTCATCACAGGAGACTAGAGCGAGGGCTGCATGGTGGAGGGGACCTGGGGGAGGGTTTGTAAAACAATGAAAGAATCTTTTCTTTTACTTTTCCATAATTTTTGGACTCATGTACTTATAACTTGTTAGTCAAATTTGTGTCTTCTAGGTTGCAACACCCCCATGATACATCTTCAAGGATATGAACATGTACAGCCAAGCACAATCAATAAGAGTGCATCTGAATTCCAAAATCAATCTCCATAATAGTCTATGTGTTTCCTACTGCCAAAGGGGCCCTTTAGAGTAGTGAGAGAAGATCTTCACCCTGAAACCCACAGCGTCCCTTTTCAGCAGGAAGTAGCTAAGAGAATACGCCATCCCCTTTTCCTTATGACTCAGGGTGAAGTCTCTCTCAGGGAGGAGTGATAGGGAATGGCAAAGGATACACTGACAAAGAAGATTAATCAGAACTGGCTTTGACAAGCACTGTGGCATTTGGACAAGAACAAACTGGGAGGAGGGTAGAGAGAATAGTGCAACAATGAATGAGTGGAAGCCCAAAATCTCTGTAAATGTTTATGAAAATTAATAAAATATAATTATAGAGAAAAAAAAAAAAAAGAGTCCCAGAGAGGGGGCACTGCTGCCTCTGCCCAATTAAACCGAGATGTAAAATGGCGATCGGCAGCATGTGCTCTATATAATAAGAGATCATACGAGGAGGGGCTGCGGTCACTGTCAGGATAACAAGACCCAGCAGCTAGACCTTTGCTGGTGTCCTGACACGTGCAGGATTCTATTGGAGGGAAGCCCCCCGGGGACCGGCTGCCTCACAGCTTCTATCACTAGGGAAACAAGGCTTCACTCTCTGTTCGTGTGCAGGACCCTGGGCCAATGAGGAAAACAACGGTCTCTGATCGTGAAGCCAGGTGCAGACGGCACTTCCAGGTCTCTCTTCAACGCCCCCATCAGAGTGGCTTCTATCAAGATCGCAGCTCTAATTGGAATGTACACAAGCGGACAGAAAGGATGTCTTCTCATCATCGCAATTTACAGACACGTTAATTAGCAAGAACTATTAGTGTGACTCTTACTTGTGCTGGGGCTTGAACAGGGGCGAAAGCCTCGATCTTGTAGTGCTCCTGGAGTTCACTGCCAAGTTCTTCTATCTTACAGGTCAGAACTGAAATCCCAGAGGTGAGAAAGTGATACATTTAAGAAACTTGACTTGTCAAGGAGAGAAAACACAGCAAATTGTGAAGGAGTAAAATCAGTCATTTCAGTGGAGCAGGAAGGTGCTCAGGACATCTGGTCAACTGGCTCAGATTTTTCCAAACAAGCTTCCAGTCAACTGTCTGCTCTCTGGTCTCCCACTGGGCCACAGGAGGTCGTGTGGTGCGGGCCTAGCAACCCCAAGCCTTCTCTTTCCTCAGGTCATCCCTCAGGTCCAGGGGAGGGCCAACCTGGAGGATAGCCTCCCCTTCTCCACAAGAAAGGGGCCATACATGTCTCCCAACTGGACCCCTCTCCTTGGCTTGAGTTTTTATTACTGGGAAATGGTTTTTCTCTAGCAATACAGTGCCGAGTGATGGGACTTGGGAGAATTACTGGTCATAAATTGAACTGGGCCCCCAAAGATATGAGTCAGCTTGGCTAGGTTATGATTTTCAGCGATTTCACACTTAGGTAATGATCTAATTTGCCAGCTATGTAATGATGTAATGACACTCGATGGTGACCAGCCAATCAGTTAGAAGAGGGTTTGGGTGGGACGCGATAATCTTAATCAGGGTGTGGCCCGAGGAGTTTCCCTGCAGAATGACCCACATCATTATATCTATATCTTACTTTCTAAGAGTTAAAGGAGAACAGAGGAGGAGAGAACGGACTGCAGTCAACAGAGAGGCAGGAGGAGACTCTCATGACCCAGGAAAGAAGGATTCCAAGATCGAAGAGCTCCAGGGAACACCAGGCCCAGAGATGCTGAGAGGAGCTGGACTGCACCCCTAGGGCGAAGGGAGGGAAAAAGCCTTTCCCTGAAGCTGGTGACCTGAATTTGAACTTCCAGTTTCCTACACTGTGAGGGAATGCATTTTTGTTAAAACCATCCATTTGTGGCATTTCTGTCACAGCAGGACTAGATAACTAAGACAGAGTTACTTCCTGTCCTTGTACCAGGAGGGACATGGACCATGTGGTGTCCGCAAAGATAAACCTTGAGACTTCATGGTGCCAGCATGGCTTGTCTACTTTCTCCAAAGTCACGCAGGCAGTTTGTACCTATGCGGATTGTCAAAATCAAGGGAGACCAAAAGGAAGGGAGAACAATCACCTTCTCGAATGTCTGGAAGCTTCTGAAACATAAATTTGTAGCTGCTGGTTAGTGGCTTTGGGTCCCCCAAGACCTTCAGGCTGAGGTTCCCAGCCCCGCCTCTCCCGGACCAAGACACTCCCTGCGCTGAGCCAAAGAAGGTGACCACTTCTCCACGGTTACTCCTCGCGCTGTACTTCTGAGAGGGAGTAGCACTAGTGGGAAGGGAAAACAGCAGAATCAGCACTGGGTTCCTATCTGAAGGGAGAGAGGGAGAAGGGAGGTTCTCGTCTGAAAATGGGATGGGAACAAAGACTGGCTAAACGGTCTGTGAATGGAGTTAGCAAAGTGGGGTCTGAAGGGAAGGGGACGCTGAGGGGTAGCAAACATGCTCAGAGAAGTTTTGAGACTGAAACATATTTACAAAGATTGTAGTTACTGTGGCACTAAAACAAAACAAAGGTAAACAAGCCCTCAATTAGCTGCCTTTCTTAAAAACCAAATGTCAAGGACTATTTTCTTTCTCTCCTCATGAATTTTTAGTTCATCAGAGCATCATCTGGGTCTTCAACTGTGGGAAAGCCAAACGTTGATGGATAGGAAATTTCTCAAATTGGAATGTGCCATTACAATTAACTTGTGGGAAAACGAGATGAGATTAAGGAAATTGCCCCTGGAGGGAGGAGAGGCAGGTGAGTTAACTGCTGTTCTCCACAGCTCACCTGGGGACAGGATTTCTCCTCAGTCACTGGAGGCTGAGATGACAAAACCCTTTCAGCACAGGGGCCTGAGTCCTTTGTTGTGTGACACACCTCACAGAGCGGCCTACTTAAAACAGGCTTTGGGTCCTGTGACCTGGAGCAGCTCCCTGCGGGCCAGCCTCTTCCTCCCGCCCCCCCTGCACCAGCCTCTTCCTCCCGCCCCCCCTGCACCAGCCTCTTCCTCCCGCCCGCAGACGAGCTGCAGAAAGCCAGCGTGAGGCCCGAGTACGTCTTCACTGAGGCAGGCTGTTCCTGAGGAATTCACAAGTTACTTTCATTAATTACAAAACCAGTTTCTGACGTCAGCTTTATTAGCGTGTTAGAAAATGACAGGGTGGCAAAGTAGGGCTGCCCTGGCCCCTCCCTGAAGAACTCTGGGGTGCTCACAGGAGGTCAAGGGGTAAACAGGTGTCAGAGGACAGTAGGTTTCTAGAATGGACTGCTGCTTCCGCCTCGCTGAGGGGAAGGATCCCTCTACACTGGGCTTTAAAGACGCCCCTGTAAGTCAAGAAAGTTCATGTCCTCGAGCAGCCTAAGAGCCTCCAAGCAGCAGATCACAAAGGGCCAAATGTCCTGCAGACGCCACAGACTCCCTCCCCGGCTGACTGCACCGCTGCCGTCTCCTCTCTCAGCAGCAGAGTTGGGGGGCCTTAAGCTCCGGTCAGTCCAGATGTGGCTCAAGGTAGTGGCCGTGGCCCTGGGAGTAGGCATCCCCGTCAGAGGTTAACGTTACACCCTCACGAGGCAGCACCTAGAAACCCTTGTGCTCACCAGAACCCGTCCCGCCATGCTCTCTAATACGAGACACACCATTTACGAATTTAATAACCACCCCCACCCGCTCATGATCTCTGTGGAGTTGCGTGCTGTGGGGCAGTGGGCCTGCAACACCCTGTAGGTCAGTGTGGTTTCACAGGGACAGAAAAATGATCGGGAACTAGCTGTAACCTGACCGGAGAAGGATAAACATGTTATGCAACCTTACAAAGATACATGCATTTTTCTTGAAAAGGAAATACTCTGATTTGGGAAAAAAAAGAGAGAAAGAAACCTAGCACCATACAAAACTGACAGGAGCAGGTGAAAATCTTTTTGCCTCAACTGGCAGGGCTACTAAGGCTCCCTGACTTCTGAATAGACGGGTTGTTTTTTACAGAAGCTATCAGTTCCCGATCTAGGAAATGAGCCTAAGAAAAGTGAGTTTCCTTAATTGTTGTACAAAACAGTAATTTTCCACAGGAAGCGGAGGGCAGAGCACTGGGCTTCCCGGTCAGTGTGCTCACTCACCCCGTTCAAGTGGGGACCGGGCACTGGGGACTGCAGAGCCCAATGGGGCACTGGGGACTGCAGAGCCAAGCGGGCACTGGGGACTGCAGAGCCCAACGGGGCACTGGGGACTGCAGAGCCAAGCGGGCACTGGGGACTG